AATGGTTGGACAATTGAAACCTGTTATCCGCATCGATGGCAAGCATATTCCACAGATCCTTCTGGCGTTCAGCATAGCAAACATGCCCAGGCTTTGCTTGGTCTGCTGCCATTTTTTGCCATGCACTCCACTTGTTCACCTGATACAAGAAGTATCTCGTCACCCATTCCATCTCATGTGACAACAGGTTGAATTCTTCTCTCCATCTGTGAAACCTGGCCCTGGCCCGAAGCCAATTGATGCGATGAACTAGAAAGGTAATCAATAATCTACTACTGAGGAGGGTATAGGGATGCTTTACACTCTACCATCCGTTCGTTGTCCTGCATATCGCCTGCCAAGTTGGAACTCCAAAACCAGGCTGGCTTTGCCCTACTTTGCCCTCGCGCATTCGGGTCTGCTACCGCAGTATTTGCCTTCATGTCCTCCTTCAAGAGCGGTTTATACTGGCGCCCTATCTTCTTCTCTGGGTCGCCCAATCTTGAAATGGCATCGATGGCATAGGAGTAAATCTGGCGATGATGATGAAGCGTTCGCCCAACAGCGTGCACCGTCGCCCATGCCCTTGTTTTCTTGACTTTACTTTTTTTGATTTTTTGAAGCTTTCTTCCATATTCAAAAGACAAATTCGCCAGTGACACTCGGACGCCTTGAAGAGCATCGTTCGCTTGCCCTTGGCGCAACTGATATTTTTTGGACAAAAAATGTTGTAATCCATGAGCCTGAAGGTGCTCTTCTCCCATGGCTGACAGCAAGGCTAGTTTCACATGTTCAACAGCTTCAGCCGCAGCAAGCGCCGCTGCCTGGGCTTGTGCAACCTTTGTGGCAGCGACCACCATGATATCAGGCGCGCTGCCACTGAAATTTGACTCGGCCAGATCATCGTCCATCTGCAGAACATCGTCCATATCAAACTCTTCACGAAGCAACAGCTGATTTTCATTTAATGCCGGGTTCCATGCTAAAAAGGTCATTCCCGTCTTGTTGAAAGCATCGATTCTCACTCTTAACCTTTCCCTCCTCT